TAATAATATTAATAATAATTATAATAATAACAATAATAAAAAACAGTAATAATAATAAGAAGAAAAAGAAGAGCAATAACAATAACAATAATAATAATAATAATAATAATAATAATAATAATAATAATAATAATAATAATAATACCAGGCGTATGGGGACTTTCCGAGATGTGAAATCCGAAATCTCATTCAATTTTCTCGTAAAATAGGATGAGGAAGAAGAGGAAGAGGAGGAGGAGGAGGAAAAAGAGAGAGAGGAGGAGGAGGAGGAGGAGGAGGAGGAGGAGGAGGAAGAGGAGAAAGAAGAGGAAAAAGAGAGAGAGAGAGAGAGAGAGAGAGAGAGAGAGAGAGAGAGAGAGAGAGGAGGAGGAGGAGAAAGAAGAGGAAAGAGAGAGAGAGGAGGAGGAGGAGGAGGAGGAGGAAACAGAAAAGAGAAGAGAAAAGAGAGAAAATATAAAGAAAGAAAGACACACAGAAAGAGAGAGCGAGGAAAATAAATAAATACACACACACACACACACACATATATATATATATATATATCATGCACAGAAAAATAAAAAAAATAAAAAAAATATAAATAAATAAAAACCAAAAAAATTTAAATCAAAAACACAACCCAAAAAAACTCCCACCCCCTCCCCCCTTCCTACTAACACCCCCCACCCCCTTCTTACTGTCATTGCTCTCTATGGCGTAAATTTCGACGTCCGGATTGATGGCGCCGTTGCTGCATGTCCTCTCTCTCGCAGCCGTCAAGGGGGAGTCGGGAGGCGTTGGGACTCCGCTGCACTCGTCTTCCTCTTCCTGGAACGGGAGAGAGAGAGAGATGATGATAAATGGGAGACATAGGAGAAAGAGAGAGAGAGATGATAAATGAGAGATATAAGAGAGAGATGATAAATGGGAGACATAAGAGTCGGGAGGCGTTGGGACTCCGCTGCACTCGTCTTCCTCTTCCTGGAACGGGAGACAGAGAGAGATGATGATAAATGGGAGAGATAAGAGAGAGATGATAATAAATAGGGAGACATAAGAGAGAGATAATAAATAGGAGATATAAGAGAGAGATGATAACTAGGAGACATAGGAGAGAGATGATAAATGGGAGACATAGGAGAAAGAGAGAGATGATGATAAATGGGAGAGATAATAGAGAGAGAGAGAGATGATGATAAATGGGAGACATAGGAGAAAGAGAGAGAGATGATAAATGGGAGAGATAATAGAGAGAGAGATGATGATAAATGGGAGAGATAGGAGAAAGAGATGAGAGAGATGATGATAAATGGGAAAGATGGTCGGGAGGCGTTGGGACTCCGCTGCACTCGTCTTCCTCTTCCTGGAACGGGAGACAGAGAGAGATGATGATAAATGGGAGACATAGGAGAAAGAGAGAGAGATGATAAATGGGAGAGATAATAGAGAGAGAGATAGGAGAGAGAGAATGATGATAAATGGGAGACATAGGAGAAAGAGAGAGAGATGATAAATGGGAGACATAGGAGAAAGAGAGAGAGAGAGATAATAAATAAGACATAAGAGAGAGATGATAATAAATGGGAGACATAGGAGAAAGAGAGAAAGAGAGAGAGATGATAAATAGGCAATATAAGAGAGAGATAATAATAAATAGGAGACATAAGAGAAAGATGATAACAAATAGGCGACTGGCACTGCACTCGTCTTCCTCTTCCTGGAACGGGAGAGAGAGAGAGATGATGATAAATGGGAGAGATGAGAGAGAGAGAGAGAGATGATGATAAATGGGAGACATAGGAGAAAGAGAGAGAGAGATGATGATAAATGGGAGAGATAATAGAGAGAGAGAGAGATGATGATAAATGGGAGACATAGGAGAAAGAGAGAGAGAGAGATGATGATAAATGGGAGAGATAATAGAGAGAGAGAGAGAGAGATGATAAATGGGAGAGATAATAGAGAGAGAGATGATGATAAATGGGAGACATAGGAGAAAGAGAGAGAGAGATGATAAATAGGAGACATAAGAGAGAGAGATGATAAAGAGGGAGAAAGAAAGAGGGAGAGAGAGAGACAATAATGATGAGAGATAAGAGGAAGAGAGAGAGGAAAAGAGGGAGAGAGAGAAAGATGATAAATAGGAAAGATAAAAGATGAGAGAAGGAGAAGAAGAAGAAGAAGAATTAACAGACAATAAATAACAGACAGATCAATTATATATCACATTTTACATTAAAAACCAATTTAACAAAACCTTATAAATATAATATAAATTATATAAATAGATTACATAGATAAATTATAAATTGTAAAATACAACAATTCATTAAAAGACAAGATAGATAGATTTTAAAAATAAAGAAATAAATAATAATAATAATAATAATAAAAATAATACTCATAAATACTTATAAAAAAATACTTAAATATTTGAATAACAAAAATAAGAGAGAGAGAGAGAGAGAGAGAGAAAGTAAGAGAAGAGAGGAAGAGAGAAAGAGAGAGAAGAGAGAGAGAAGAGAAAGAGAAAGAGAGAGAGAAAGAGAGAGAGAGAAAGATAGATAGGGAGAAAGAGAGATAGACAGAAAAAACAGAAAGAAAAGAAAAAGAAAAAGAAAAAAACAAAAACAAAAAAATATTTGAATAAAATAAGAGAGAGAGAGAGAGGAGAGAAAGAGAGAGAGAGAGAGAAGAGAGAGGAGAGAGAGAGAGAGAGAGAGAGAGGAAGAGAGAAAGAGAGAGAAAGAGAGGAGAGAAAGAGAAGAAAGAGAAAGAGAGAGAGAAAGGAGAGAGAGAGAAAAGATAGCATAGGGAGAAAAGAGAGATAGACAGAAAAAAACAGAAAGAAAAGAAAAAGGAACAAAGAAAAAAACAAAACAAAAAAATATTTTGAAATAAAATAAGAGAATGAGAGAGAGAGAGAGAGAAAGAATGAGAGAGGATCGAGAGAGAGAGAAAGAGAGAGAGAGAGAGAGAGACAGAAGGAAGAGAGAGAGAGGACGAGACGAGAGACGAGAGGAGAGAGAGAGAGGAGAGAGAAAGATAGATAGGGAAAAAGAGAGAGAGATAGACAGAAAAAACAGAAAGAAAAGAAAAAGAAAAAGAAAAAAACAAAAACAAAAAAATATTTGAATAAAATAAGAGAGAGAGAGAGAGAGAGAAAGAGAGAGAGAGATAGGAGAGAGAGGAGAGAGAAGAGAGAAAGATAAAGAGAAGAGAGAGAGAGAGAGGAGAGGAGAGAGAAGAAGAGGAGAGATAGAAGAGAGAGAGAGAGAAAGATAGATAGGGAAAAAGAGAAAGAGAGATAGACAGAAAAAAAACAGAAAGAAAAGAAAAAGAAACAGAAAAAAACATACCAAACAAAACAAAACAAAAAAACAAAACAACAACAAAAACCTCCCCTCCCCCCTTCCCCCCCCATCACCCTCACCTCAATGACGTCGTCCTCGGACTCGTTGGGCAGCTCGCCCTCCTCCTCGGCCCGGGACATGTCGTGGATCCCGAGGAGCAGCGAATAGTCCATCAGGTTCAACCGCATCAGGAACTGAAAGATAAAGGAGGCGCATGAGGGAGAATAGGTGATAAAGATGGGGAATGGGAGAAAAGATAAAGATGGGAATAAATAAATAAAGATGGGGAATGGGAGAATAGGTGATAAAGATGGGATGATAAAGATGGGGAATGGGAGAATAGGTGATAAAGATGGGGAATGGGAAAATGGGTGATAAAGATGGGGAATGGGAGAATAGGTGATAAAGATAGGAAGAGGGAAAATGGCTGATAAAGATGGGGAATGGGAGAAGAGGTGATAAAGATGGGGAATGGGAGAAGGGGTGATAAAGAAAAGGTGATAAAGGAGGGAAGAGGGAGAATAGGTGATAAAGGAGGGAAGAAACATGTCGTGGATCCCGAGGAGCAGCGAATAGTCCATCAGGTTCAACCGCATCAGGAACTGCAACAGAAAGGAGACGATAAAGAAGAGGAATGGGAGAATGGGTGATAAAGATGGGGAATGGGAGAAAAGATAAAGATGGGGAATGGGAGAAAAGATAAAGATGGGGAATGGGAGAAAAGATAAAGATGGGGAATGGGAGAAAAGATAAAGATGGGGAATGGGAGAAAAGATAAAGATGGGGAATGGAAGAATAGGTGATAAAGATAGGAAGATGGAAAATGGCTAATAAAGATGGGGAATGGGAGAAGAGGTGATAAAGATGGGGACTGGGAGAATAGGTGATAAAGGAGGGAAGAAACATGTCGTGGATCCCGAGGAGCAGCGAATAGTCCATCAGGTTCAACCGCATCAGGAACTGAAAGATAAAGATGGGAATAAATAAATAAAGATGGGGAATGGGAGAATAGGTGATAAAGGAGGGAAGAGGGAAAATGGCTGATAAAGATGGGGAATGGGAGAATAGGTGATAAAGATAGGAAGAGGGAAAATGGGTGATAAAGATGGGGAATGGGAGAATGGGTGATAAAGGAGGGAAGAGGGAGAAGGGGTGATAAAGGAGGGAAGAGGGAGAATAAGTGATAAAGAAGGGAAGAGGGAGAATAGGTGATAAAGGAGGGAAGAGGGAAAATGGGTGATAAAGATGGGGAATGGGAGAAAGGGTGATAAAGGAGGGAAGAGGTAGAATAGGTGATAAAGATGGGAAGAGGGAGAAGGGCTGATAAAGGAGGGAAGAGACATGTCGTGGATCCCGAGGAGCAGCGAATAGTCCATCAGGTTCAACCGCATCAGGAACTGAAAGAGATAATAGAAAGGTGATAAAGATGGGGAATGGGAGAATAGGTGATAAAAAAGAGGTGATAAAGATGGGGAATGGGAGAAGGGGTGATAAAGATGGGAAGAGGGGAAAATGGGTGATAAAGATGGGAAGAGGGAGAAGGGGTGATAAAGGAGGGGAAAATGGGTGATAAAGATGAGGAATGGGAATAAATAAATAAAGATGGGGAATGGGAGAATAGGTGATAAAGATGGGATGATAAAGATGGGGAATGGGAGAATAGGTGAT